TTCCAGGAACAAAAGAATTTTCGGAATACAGCTGAATTTCTCATTCCTTTTATTTTTTTTCATTAATTTGCAAGATGATGCACTACTATTCCATAGTTTGCAGAAGAGATGGGTGGAGCGGTAGATCTGAGTACGGTAGTTGTCGATGATGATGCTGAAGAAGAGTTGGCGAGTGTAATGGACAAAGCGCGGCGTCTTAGACAAGTTGTTGTCAAAAAAGAGGACGACGACGTTGCACAAAAGGTACGAGCTTAATTGGTCTTAGCTTTTGTTTCCAGATTATAGAGATATCAGCTCATTGCTCGTAATCAGCGAGTTTTCTATTTCCAGGTTCTTGAGATGGTTTCTTCGCACAACATCAAGATGGAAGTAGATGATGATACTGATGTAACACAAAGTAGCGCATTGAGAGATGGAGCCGTAACTCTAGACTCGACTATGGAATATTGTAGAAATATTGGTAAACTCATGGCTTAATAAATAGAATACCTTAGGTTTAGGTCTGTTCTCTTTTCAGGAGAAATCCCCACATACGGTTTGGCAGGTAACCGAACCGACGCTATAGACGTCTCGGAAATGAAGCAGGAAGATGAAGAGGAAGATACGGCCGAGATTAGGTCAGTTCTCTCCAGTTCTGACACTTGGCTACCAGTCATCTTTCTTGCGTGTTGCCCTCGTGGTTCTACTTTCAGTTCATTCCTGATTGGATGAGTCTCACTTGTTACGAATTTTGCAAGCTAGCTCCCATGCGGTAGCTCCAGATCACGTGCACCTGTTCTTCCTTTTGCGATTTACTCTTTTCCAGGAAGTGGAAACAAGCGCAAGCAGAGAAGGAACTTCGCCGTAAAGAGCGCCTGATGCACAAGGAAGGCAAGAGCAAATGGAATGACAAACCTAGCAGCAGCGCTGCAGCCATTGACAGTGACGACGAGCAATGTCTCAAAGAAGCAGAAGAAGCTGTTAGTTCTTTTCCATGAACTTTTTGATGTTTTCAATACTTTCTTGTTGAAGGCTTTTTCTGATGACGAGGATTCTAATAGTGGAGACGGAAAGAAGGAATATGAAAATGTGCTAGGGAAAGAAGCTGATGTTACCAAAGGTGTGGGTGCAATGTTGAAGTTGGCAGCCCAGAAGGTTCGTTGACACCTTGTTCTTAAATCATATTTCTAATAATCGCTCACGAGTTTTTTCTCAACTTCGCGAATCCGGGATACGGCTTCGGCTTCATAACAGTAGATATTTATGACGATAACTTTTTCAGGGTTATCTTAACGATCCAGAAGCGAAGAAGAAAACGGGTCAAAATTTGGATCATCTTCGCAACCAGTCTAAGACTCAGATTGAACAAGGCAAATAGTGAGTTGTATTAGTCGACCTTCTTGTTCTTATGTGCAACTGGGTAATGGGCAAAGGACGCTGATCTGAGCCATTCCATAATCATCCAATAATATATGACTGCTCTTTGTAAATAGCAGGTTCGCCAAGGTTGTTTCAAATGATGTGGCATGTGTTTCAGTGACATTGAGGATAAATACGCTAAAAAACTGGATCGGCTAGGTACCACTGGCCGTGGTCCTATAATGCCTTTCAATGAGAAGAAAGACTATCGCCCTGAGGTACATTTCGTTTGTCTCTGTATAGAAGGCGCATTACGCGATCGCATGGGCTACCGTGCCTGCCTTTCGTCGTCATCTCGGTCTTGAAATCTTTGAAAACTTGCATGCTTTGGCATCTAGGCTTTGTTATTGCAGTCTTCGCTGTAAGCTCTCATAAAGTACAAAATTAGCTAAAAACGAGGGCGTCATTCGAGGTCAT